TATGCAAATCAAAACTACAATGAGTTACAGTCTCAGCCCAGGTATTGTTATTGATTGCCATTGAGTTGAGTACGACTCATAGTGACCCTATGAACAAAAGACCTGAAGCCTTTCTATGACTATCATAATTTCTTAAAGTTCATAGAGTTTCCAGAGGCATGTGGTTTAGGAAGTGGATGTGACTCCTGCTCACTCCAGTATCAGTGACAAAAAACAGCAAGCAATAAATGTTGGAGAGGATGGGGGAGATTGGAACACTTATACACTGTTGGTGGGGTTTTAAAATGGTACACTCTAGAAGGCAATTTGGTGTTTCCTCAAAAAGCAGAACATAGAAATTCCATATTATCCCCTGTTTCACTGCTAGGCATATGCTCTGAGGAAAATGGAACTGAAACCCAAATGAAGATTTGTACATCAATGTTTATAACAATAGCGTAATATCACAACATCAAGAAAATGAAAACAACTCAAATAATTGACTAGATCGTGTTAAAGTTACATGATGGAATACTATAAAGCACTCAGTAGTAATGATTTATAAAAGCACTATATAACATGGGAGAGGCTGGAGAGCATGTTAAGTGAACCACTGTCATAAGGGCAAATACTGCATAAGAATATTTAAAAAAATAGAAGGATTACTAGTAAGATGTGTACAAAAGTCTCAAGGAGGGAAGGTGAAGAAAGAGGAGAACTGAGGGGAGCGGGTGGTCAGAAATCATGGGATAGAAGCATTTGGTGAGCAGAGAGAAGTGGTGAAGGTATTAAAAAAGATTCAGTCTGGACCTGAAAAGGTGAGTTAATGATGGGTGTGGATCAATGGTGATTAATTTTATAAAACACAATATATGGCAATGATCATGTGGAACACAATAAGAATAGAGGCATGTGTGAAACCCAATGTACATAAATACAATACAGTGTATATAAATTTTGTATACCAATATAAAATAAAAATAATTTTTATTGATATTTTAATGAATATTTACTGAGAACTGCATTTCCATTAATTCATTGTTGCACATTTTCTTCCATACCTGCACCTAGTTCACTTTTCTCTTTGAAAAAAATTCTTTCATTGTTGCATAATTTCTTTCCTCCTCTTCCCCTACCCAGTCCACTTTACTATGCACCTCTTGTTCTGAACTATTGTCATGCAAATAATGCCTAATCACCTATTCCTTTGAAACAGTTCTTCTATCATCTGTTTCAATGCAATGTACATAATTTATCTCCTCTTAGTGTCCTGTCCACCCCCCATGAAAGTCCTGTTTTAGAACAGTGGCATTTCGCAGTATTTGTCTTTTGGGGACTGAGATATTTCACTCAGCATATTGTCCTCCAAGGTCACTCATTTTGTCTGATACTTAATGAGTTCTTTATTTTCAGCGCTGAGTAGTATTCCATTGTGTGAATCATGTTACAGCTTCTCTGTTCATTTTTTTGTTGATGGGCACTTGGATTGCTTCCATTTCATTGCTATTGTGAACAATGCAACAATAAACATTAGCTGTGCTTATGTATGTTTGGGTGAAGT